ATCAATGCCAAAATAAAAATAATTGTCATCATTATAATCTACAGTTTGCTTAAACTTTTATTTTACCTTTTTAAAATATAAAAAAATAATTATTAATATATATATTTTAAAAAAATATTATTCACTCATTCCCATATTTTTTACTACTACAAACATTCAAATAAAAATAAAAAATGATTCCCAAATAAAATTTAAAATGAGTGGTAATAATTTTTACTTCTTACACAATTGTAGTCATATTGTGTGTTGCTTTATCTTTTTTGGCTTTTACAGAATGTTGAAGCTGATAAGGGAAACGGTCAACGCGCTGACCAATGCCCAAAAACAAAGATTTATTAACAGATTTGTGAATGCATCAGAGTTCATATCAATTACTACTACATATATATATATGTCAAAGCTGAATAAATTATAATCCAGTACTGTCATAATTTTCAAAATGGCAAAACAATCGATTTTAATGTACATGCATCTTAAATATATATAACAAAGATGGTGAAAAAAAATTAAACTTACTCGGGAGTTGTAACCGTTTGATCATCATATAATTAAAATACAAAACACACAATAAACAAAAAAACTACACTTAAAAAATAACATAAAAGTAGAATAAAACACTGATCTCCTCAAGCAAACAGAACTCCAAGGCATACATCAACATACTGTAAAGTCATTCATCGTGCTGCTGTCGCTAACTCCACTACATTAAAATATGTTGAATAAATCAATTATAAAATTTGAGTTTGATCCTATTTTGATTGAATTTTTATAATGAAATATTTAATTTGGGTTTAATTAAATTGTGTACGAAAATTTTATGTCCCTATTACATATTCGTGGTATATTAATTTTCTCAAAATTGGTTTTCGGTGAGTGAGAATTAAATTATTAAGGTTAGTCATAAATGACACGTACAACGATGATTGTAGAATTCGAAGGGTCAACAATGATTCCCACATTAGGCTTTTAAAGAGAAATTGAAAAAGTCACAACAACAATAAAATTTTGCACCAAGTATTGTGTTGACGTCGGTCACATGCACCCACGTGCGCCTGCCGGCTCTGCTCAGGCTCATGTATGGGCTCAGAGATTTGGTATTTGGTAATTGAATTGTGGGATGGACTTGAGCGACCTTGAACGGTCTAGGTCGGTATTAGGCTTGGTGCAAATCTGTGGCCCATGGCTTTATACCTTTTTGTTGTACTTTTATTTGCAAATTTGTAGCCAAATTGAAACTCAATTTAAGTGGATTTGGACTCGGGTTTTTGACCCAACTTGACTGAGTCATCTCAAGATTCACCGAACCTGGGCGAGTGACCTTTCACCTGACCATTTCGGTGGTTATCAAGTGGATTGATGGTGTACGTTAAAATATGAAAATGGCAGGCTTAACACCTGATTGTTTTTTGGCCACTTACAACAACCATTAGTTGGTTGTTTCATGCATTAAGTGGCTGAAGACCAAGAGTTATCCTAAAAGTCATATGAACGAGACTTGTCTAGAGTTGCAGAATGACACAACCATCTGCATTCTTGAACCCTTTAAAGTCATGAATATACATACAACTCAGTTTTCGATTTCGTTCAAGTTCGTCGGAGCTTGAAAGTTGTTTTGCTACAACCTTCAAGATGTATGTCGTTATATCTTCAGGAACAAGACGCCTGAACTAGTTAGCACATGATGGGTATAGTCGTTTTACGAAAAGAGCAACCTCATCTCAGATTGTCTTTCCGCTTTAAGTTGTATTTATGCTTTGTGTTTTATTGTTCAAATATTATGAAATGAAAACATCATCTTGAATTCATAAATTTCCATTGACCGTTGTAATCAAAACACATATATGCAAAAAAATTGTCATTAAAACCCTTTACTGCACAATCCAAGGACATTCTTTGATCGTCAACCAAAATACCTAATCGTTTGTTATACAAATGTACACATGAAACTCCCGCGAAATTATACAATTGCTTTAACTCGTTCGAAAACTGAAACCTTTGTATGTGTATTATCTGAAAATTGAGAGTTTTGATTGACGATTTAAAAAATAAGAAAATGTTACGGTTTGGTTACGGAATCATTCCGTCAGAGTTTGTAACCGTTAGATCATAATGTAACCGTCGGGAATAATTGATCTAACGGTTACAAAACTCTAACGGAATGGTTTCGTAACGGGACCGTAGCATCTCCCTAAAAAATATAGTAAGGGCTTGCTTGCTTACTAAATTTTTCACTTTTTACTATTTTTTTTCTATTAATTAGTAATGAAAAAAAAAATAGTGTAGTGACTACTTGTTAGTGAGATTTTAATATTGTATTAAAATAATATTTAAAATAAATTAATTATATTTATTTTAATATAAAAGTAAGCTAAACAATTAAAATAATAGATAATTTAAGTTATGTGAGTGATTGAATAGTGAATTAAAGTTGACGTGATATGTGAGAATAATTGATTAATATTATTTAATTATATTAATAATGTTAAAAATAATAAAATTAAATTAGAGTTGGTGTTGAAATTATATATATATATATATATTTTAAGTTTTTTGATAAACAAGAAAGCCCTGATGACGTTCATCATATTTTCATGCATTATGAATGATATAGTGTGATGTTTGACCGTGTTTATTGTGGGATTGCGCACCATTTCGTTTGATTTATTAATCTATGATAGAGGTATATTTGTCGTTGGTTTTGTAAGAAACATGCCCGAAAAAGCGTTAAAGATGGAATCAGGACGAAAAACGACAAAAATAAGGTGCAGGCAGGGTCACACGACTCGTGTTGTATGTGACACGAGTCGTGTGAGGTGAGAAAAATCAAGATCATGCAGAATTTTGGTGCGGCTTTACCACACGAGTCGTGTGGCCCATGACACGGGTCGTGTGGGCTCACACGACTCGTCTGACGTCTCGTGTAGGTTGACCGTGTGAGTCTGGGAGCGGGGCAAAAATTCGAAGAAAGTCACACGACTCGTGTGACGCGCAGACAGTCCAGCGGGAATTAGGAAACATACGCGATTTTGTCCCTTTTTCGACCCATATTTACCCTACAGTATATAAAGAACATAAAGAACACGGTTCTTGGGATTTTGCCATTGGAGGCCTAGGGAAAGCACGAAACACACGAGGGATTCGAGGAAGTCAAGATTGAAGATCCGGGAACTAACGGCAACAATAGTTCTTCTTTCTTTTCTCTTTTTCTTCTTCACTAAACTCATGAATTTATTTATTTTGAGTATTGAGAATATGTTTAGTAGCTAAATTTCTTTGAGATTCTAGGATTTGCGAGTACTCGGCTTATTTTATGAAGTGATTTTGTTTATTCATTCCGGTCTATCTTTCGTTTATTTATTTCTTGTGGTTATTATTATTGTGTGAGTAGACGGCCGCTATGAATGCATATTTGTAATTGATTTGAGACCGAGAGTAGATAGTTGATTGCTAGAATTGGGAAATTCATAACGTAAGAGACTAAACAGACCGAGAGGTTGATAGAATCTTGCGAGGGAACTAGAATCTTAGGAGCTTATGGGAGTTAGTTGTTCATCTTGAGACCGAGAGGAGATATATAGCAATTAATATCTACGATTTAACTTGTTCGAGAGAAATGTGTAAATTACTTTAACGATTATCCCTACGATTGGTAGAATTAAATAAGGTTTGAATGAATAAGAAAACTTCGCTAGAATAATCCCGAGGAAAGCATAGCCTAGAATCTATTTTCTCATACTTGATTTATTTAGAACAAGCCTTCATTAGTGTTAGAATTTATTTTTACATTCATTCATTAGTTTAGAATAAAAACTCCACTCGAATTTGCATTAGTCTAGATAATATTTAATCGTCTATATTTTGGTACTTAATTAGTTGAACAACAGTCTCTGTGAAATACGACCTTGCTCGCCGCTTTCTACAGCTACACCGTACACTTGCGGGTAGTAAAAATATTTTGCGAACACTTGATAATAGCACCAATCCTCTCTATATATAATCCCCGAACGCGTTGAGCCTACGTGGCTGTTTCTGGTGCTTCAAAATTCTACTTGGCGAAGAATCATGATTCGTAATTAGGGTTGGATATATAATATTGATATATTAATAATTAATAATATAGGTTTGGATATTCCATAAATATTATTTAGCTAACTTAGGTATTTTAATATCACTTGTACTAATATAACCCTTTAATTCATTGTAATTTTACATAGTGAGACACTAAAGTGACTAATATATCTCTGACTTTTGATTTGTTTTCTTCAATTAACTATTGAATTGTAAATGTATTTTAAAAGATGATAACTTTGGTATTTCTTATCGGTTTTACATATATAATATATCAAATTAATCATCTTTTGATGATCTTCGATTTGACATTCATATTGTATATATTGAAACAAATAAATTATATTTATACTTATAGTAATAAAAAACAATTATATTTATTAAAATTCATTAGAAAAATAAAATCATTTCTCAATTGATATATTTATGTTTAATGTTGTTATATGTTGTAAGTTAAAAAAATTATTATAACACAGGTAAGTCGCACAAATAAAAAGTGGCAATACTAAATATATAATAATATATATTTTTATAAAATGTATTTAATTTTCTAACTATTTTTCTCATTAATTTTAGATTTTAAGAAAAAAAAATAGCAAACACTCGTATAATATACGAGAATTGTACTAATTAAAAAACTAATTCAACATAATTAGATAAGCTTTGTGTGACGCCTTGTAAGACATCAAGTTCCAATTTTGGGAAACGCAAGCATAGTATAGTAAAATCCATCTATTAGATTAGATTTGCCTCTGTCTGTGTATTAATTACATCTGACAAATTAATACGCTGCAATAAACTTACATGCAATGGCGCTCGCCGCCAAACCTTTCTTTCTTCTCTCCTCCTGCATTTAACGACAGTATATCATCGTCACTCTCAGCTTTCATTTTACACACACACACACACACACAAGACACAGAGTCTCGGCCATGTGTATCAAGCTCCTCTCCAAGCCCCTCAATCCCAGAGCCCATCCTTGGGCCCCACATCCGAAACCGCCGCCGTGTCTACTCCTCCCTCTTCCTCCTCTACCTCCTCCTCCTCCGCCGCCGCCGCCGTTGTG